TTCCTGGGAGGCGAAGGTGAGCTGCGCAGTCCCTAGCAGTCCTGAAAAGGGGCGGTGGCTTTCTGTGGCGGGTACTGAAACACCTGGGCTGCACCCATGCGGGCACGGGGCACCGTGGGACTGTGTCACCTCTCCGGCAGCAGCCAGGGGCTTGAGGGAAGCAGGAGCCTGGGTCAGTGCGGGTCCAACATTGTGCACTTTCTGGTGTGGTCCGGAGGTAGGAGCAGAGTTGTCCAGAAAGCGGGAGAGAGATGCCACCAGCAGTGGCATCTGTACCTGTAGGGCAAGAGTTTGGGTACGCAGCTGCAGACTGGTTCAGTCCCTGCTCAAAGGACCACTCACAGCTGTAATATTAAGTAGCCCCTGCATAAAATTGTGGGATAAAAAAAAAAAGATTGAGGATGGGGGCTATGGAAGAAGAGCTTCAGCTCCAACAGTTTGGATTTAAGTACAAGTAGCTGGCCTCTCTCCCACTCCCAGTTTTAGTCTCGAGTGGCGCTTATTCCTGGCATTAGATGTTTCACAGTTACTCCCCCCTGCCACCCCCCTTCTTCTGTTAGGGGTAAGGGGCTCTTGTGTGCTGCTAGCAGCTGACGGGGCCGGCTTGCTGCTTTTTCGACTCGATGACTCAGCTCCTCTCACACTTCAGTACTGCATCCCCGAAAGCCTCTTCTCGCTGAGTGAAGCTCTGCACTGCGTCCTTCCCTTTACATTCCCTCTCAGGAAGTGATCCCTCAAGGCAAGCATCCTTCAACCTCATGCTAGGGTAGCTTCAGGAGCATGTCGGTGGGGGGGGACACCAAAGCTGGAGGCTGTCAGCCATGTTTCTGAGCTCCCACGTCTTGCTGCGTGCCCTAGTTTTGCCCTCTCTTCTGGGGGTGGGGTGGGTGAGGGTGGGGGCAAAGGAGGACTCCAGAGCCGCGCTGTCCCCCCACACACTGTGGTGTTGGTCCATCTTGGGGCCTTTTTGTCAATCCACTGGAATAAGGTGGGACCTATGTCCACGGATCAGAATAAACGCATGCTAAAAGTATACATTCAATATTACCAATGCCATTAAAATTTTACTGTAAATTTTGTTTGCGCTATTGAAGATGTTTCTTCCCCCACCCGGAGGCAATAGAAATAAGTGTGTGCCTGTTTGTTCATTGATCTGTCAAGTTACAAAATACTTCTGGAAAAGTATTCAAAGATACGATTTAAGAAAGACCGCTGTACCTTAAGCTTGGGCTGCTCTTACAGTCTGTGATGATAAACTGGGAAGGATGCTTTTTTTTGTACTTTCAACACTGTTATTAAATAAAACGTAGCTACTTTACTTAGCTGATCTTTTGCTATTAAAATTTAAAGACGGGCAAGGCTGGAACCCTTTCCTACCCGAAAAGCACTTCACGCACATTGTATTTACTAAGGCTGGATTAGGTAATACTGTTTGCAAAAAGCTCCTGAGCTGGCTGCGCTTTGCTTTGTATCAGTGTGTTGCTTTCAGAGTGCAATATGCGAGAGAATCGGGTCCAGATCTCCCTACTCTCCCCCACAGGAGCGGAGGGGGTGGTGCTTGCAGTCTGGGGGGGAGGCCGGTGGCGCTGGACTCTTCCATCTTCCTCTGTTCCAAAAACGCAATTTCAGAATTTCTCAGTTTACTTTAACTTGGTAAAGAATTTATGCTTAATTATATGCAAGAACATTTGGGTTCGGTAGTATCAAAATTTATTTACTTTTGCGTTCTTACTCATCTCTTTGTTTTAAGGAAGTCCAGTTAATTTTCAGGAAAAGTGTGTTGTACTCCGATACGTGTAGGATACCAAAATACAGGCAAAAAGACGCCACGCTTACACGTTACTGTGAAAGCTGGAGCTTTATTTTGTGGCCTG